TCCGGGCTGGGGATTCGAACCCGCCACCTTAGGTGTATGTGGCTGGCGCCTTAGCCGCTTGAGCCACAGGCGCCGAGCCAGTACCTTTACTTTTAATGTGGAGTTCCATAGTTACCCAAGTGGTATTGAAAATGGGAGACCATTTTTGCATGTGCCATGGTAACTCTCCTTGAAAAGTTATATATTTCCCTTTTCTGTGTATGCACCGTGTATGTGAACCCAATCAAAACATAGCCACAGACAAAAATGTCCTCTCTCCAGGACATAACCCCATCTCATCTCAGAGCTTAGTGACAACTATGGCAAAAGCTTGGAGGGGATAGGAAAGATTTGTCATTTGACTATACTCTAGTTACTGTTTCAGCCTAAGAAATAGCTCTGTGCTGATGCTGTTAACCTATATGATCACATAGCTGGAGAGATCTTCAAGACCTCTGTGCTTGACTGGGCCTGTTATATACTGAATTGCTCCCCCTCACTCCTTCCAAAGTCCCAACGCATGATGTGACTGTATTTAGAGATAGGGCCTTTAGGAGGTAATTAAAGTTAATTGAGGGCATGAAGGTAGGACTCTAATCTGGTAAAATTAATGTCCTTATAAGAGACACAGAGAAATGGCCATATGAGCACACAGTGAGAAGGTGGCCAGGAAGTGGTCTCCCCAGAAACCAACCCTGCCTGCACCTTGATCTTGGACTTCCAGCCTCCAGAACTGTGAGAAAATACATTACTGTTTAAGGTAGTATCTTATCACCGGCAGCCTGTGGTGACAAATAGGGCCTCCCAGCTCTAGTATAAGGAACTTCCTTCATTTCCCCCAACACAGCATTTATATATTTCTTCTTCCTCTTGGGTGATGAGTGCTGTTTTTGCACCATGTATTTCTAGCATGTGATCCATGGCTTCTGACAACATACTGCACACAGAACTCAATTATTTAGTAAACAAAATTAATTCGAGTCCTCTACATTGTGAGTGGGGGAAAGAGGTGAGTTAAGGAAGAAATGAGTGCTGTGAAGGAAAAATGGCCCATGTGTGGGGTAAACCCCCACAAAAATTAAATGAAATGTGCTCTTTTAATTCTAGAACTGAGCGAAAAGACTTGTATTATGTGCTTTTGTCCAAGCCCTAAGCGACCTGGGAAAACATGGTGGGGGCCTGCAGGCCAGGCGTAAAAACCTCCTACAGGTAACCCCGACTGTGCAGTCAAGTCAGCCTGTCAGATAAGGGTTGAAACGGCCCATCTGTGCAGAGGACATGACTCAAAGGTTGATGTGAGTAAAAAGAAAACTCCATCGTAATGATGTGAGTAAAATACTCCATCGTAACTGCAGGGTCTCCAAAACCATAAAAAAACAGTCATGAAGCCAGTTTCTCAGAAATTTAATTGAGTACATAGAAGAGAAAGGTTTTACTCCTCTGTTTATCCTAACCTTTAACTTTAACAATAGAAGTCAGATAATGTATTGTTCTTTTAGATCTTCCAAGAGGAATAGCCTGAGGCTAGTTTAAGATGGTTGTCTTACTTTCCCGGACTTTCTTTCTTTAGGTTAGTCTTATGATGGCTATCTCACTTTCCCGGACTTTCTTTCTTTTCTATAGTTTAAGATAAGAAATGAGGATGTTAGGATTATTGATCAGTGTGGTGTACGTGACTAACTCCCAATAAAAGGGAGTGAAAAATAAAGACATTTTGCTACATGCCACCTAAGAGTGTGTAGTTGTTTCTTGCTTTTAAACAATTCTAGGAGCGAGCTTGCACCCGCGGCCAAGCCATCCTTCTCTCCCTGCGAGAAAGAACATCACCTAACACCCATGCAATAAGAATGGAGGTAACTTTCACCCTAAGCACCAAAAGCTCCTGATAAGTACCTGACCTTAAAGATCCTTTTTGTTCTACACAATTAGCATTTCACTTACTTTCCTATGATCTGTACAATACAATTTGTTTGATCATATTGCTATACACTGCTGTGGGAAAACTGTCCCACTGATTGCTTTCTGTGGTTTTCTGTCACCACCCAGACTGCAAATGCTTTGTAGTCAGAGGGCTTATAAATTCTACTGAATCTTCATAGTACCTCACCCAGTACTAGACATAGCAAGTATTCAGTAAAGTCATTATTCATTTAATGAAAAATGTCTGAATTTCAGTAGTTTTTCTTTGATTAAATAGATGTATTTCCTTGTCTTGAGGACCAAGAAGTTTTCAGTAATAATTTTCATACATTCCAGGACAATTCTTTCCTCTTAAGGGATGAGGTCAAACACCATTATTTTAAGGATACTCAGAAAGGAATCTTAGCCACATCAAGTTTTTTCAATCCTATGATGGTGACTTTGCCAATGCTACTTGGTACTCACTGTCTTGAATAAACTAGAACAAGGTTATTGACCTCTTGACACAGGCTTCTTTCTAAAGACTCTATCTAGTACACAACAGGCACTCAAAAAGTGTTGAAAGGGCTTGTGCCTGTAGTTCAGTGGTTAGGGCGCCAGCCACATGCACCAGAGCTAGTGGGTTTGAACCCAGCCTGAGCCTGCTAAACAACAACAACAACAACAAATAGCTGGGCATTGTGGCAGTCACCTGTAGTCCCAG